ACTTCAGCAGCCTGTGTTGTAGCAGAGTTTTATGCATTAAATTGTATTTGGTGAATAATAGGTAAGGATACACATGGTAACAGATCATGCACTGTCAACATCGTATGACATAGTAGCATAATGTACGCCATATTTTCACTTTAGTTATAGCAATGAATAATAACTAAACTAATAATCATTACAGATCAGCAGATATCGCTATCACTGACACAGGAGTTGCTATCAGCTTTTGAGACCTTTGCCCGTAACACCCTCTATAGTATGGGTTTTAATCCTGGAGCAGCAGATATTCCGATTAAGGTGTGAGCCTGTGCGTTAGGAAAGATCGTGACGTGATGATGGAAAGATGTCTGACGTTGGGCCAGCGGTGGCAATATGACGTTGGGCCAACGTTGGGCCAACGTTGGCTGACGGCCGTTGGGCCAACGTTGGGCCAATGTCGTGCCACCGTTGGGCCAATGTTGGCTGCCAACGTTGGGCCCAACGTTGGCACGCTGAGCAAAAAGACGTTGGATCAACGTTGGCTGTCTGACGTTGGGCCAACGTTGGCAATATGACGTTGGGCCAACGTTGGCTGACTGCCGTTGGGCCAACGTCGGCCCATCGTCGGGCCAACGTTGGCAGCCAACGTTGGCTCAACGTTAGCATGAGCTGAAGACAGCCGTTGGTCCAACGTTGGCCCAACGTCAGCATGTTATCTGGGGATATTGTCATTGTTTATATAATCAGGGATTATACCAAGTAATATTGTTGTTTTGAAAATATTAGGCCCGAGTAAAAATATCAGGGGAGCTTAGATGGATAGGTGTCAGGCTGTGTATTGATGTTATAGTCTCCCTACCAAGGTCAGGCTGTGAAATACACAGAGTACAAGCCAAAGTATGTTGCTAAATTTACACTGACTTTGGATGAAACCCCTTGTAGTCTGTCAGTAGAGGGAAGAATGAAGGCTATTTCTACTGCTAGTCAGACAACAGAGAAGCCGTTTCCCTAATCTAATATATATATGACCTAGCTGCGTGAGTGTGAATGTGTGTGGATAATTAGAAGTTGAAACTTTGGAAATTTTTAACCAATCTAATTTTGCAGCCCACAGGTTTTTACCAATGTGTGACTGTGAGTTTAAAGCATTTGCACAATCCTAAAAATCCTAATTATTTTATTTTCTAGTTTGAGGATCCAGTGTATGGTGATACCTCTCTACAATTCACAGATTACATGGCACCTGGCATTATTTGCACGTGCGTATATTTTGTTTGATTGTTATAGTGACTATGATAATCACTATTATTAAATTCATATGATTCGACCAAATGGTCAACACTATAGTATAATTCTTACACTAGTCTAGCATTTAGAAGTGTCTGTATTTCTGTAATAATTTGGGCCATTTTTCTTTCAGAGTCACATTTTTCATGGCAGTTGGTTTAACCTCCTTGTCATTCATCACAGAACGCAAAGAGGGTCTGCTAGACAGGAGCATGGTAGCTGGTGCGTAGAATATGATTTTTTAAATTCTAGATGTGTGAAGTAGGTTGTAGTGGGTGAAGTGAAGTGATTTCGTGGGTAAAACAGTATTTTATGTGTGCATATTTGCCAGAGTATAGTATTGTAATTATTTATCTTAGCATGATTTTCTGAATAAGTTCGTTATTTTCTATCACAGTTAATTGTAGCTCATGTTCTATTGTATCATATATATATTATAGCCATCAGATATGTGATATTTGTTATGTCGACAGAGTTTATGAGTCACGTAGGCACATCTATATATGTGTATGCATGTTTTCAGTTCATGCATTTAATGGCTCTTCTGCAAGCATATATCTGTGTGTTTATGTGTGCATATGCAGAATGATCCTTTATAGTCCATATGATCTGTAGTTAGGACCATTTATGTTTTTGTAGAATTGTATAAAGGCTTATCCACGTTTATCCATGCTTATTGTTTGAACATGTTATGTTAAAACGATATTGTGTTTAATCTGTTTAAACAATACTATGTGTAAAAGCCATCTTTATTAACACGTAGCCATGTAATCTGCCACTTAGATAACTGGATAACATCTCAAAGTGCTGTACTTTATGTCTAGTTAGCTACGACGTGGTTGTGATGCTGATGCAGTTGTATATTTCTTCACAGGTGTCACGCCCGTTGAAGTGATGATTGCTCACATATGCTCGCAGTTCTTTGTGCTCGTCGTGCAAATATCGCTGCTGCTCATTGTCGCCATCGGAATATTTAAGGTGCGCCTCATCAAGCAACTAGCTCACCAACTTCTAATCTTCATTTTACAATTACAAAATTTGGTTGATTATTGAGCCAGTCTGGGTGGCTGATTGCTGGATGGTGAATGTATACTGTGAATGTAGTCTATGTATACTGTCTAGAAAACCGAACCTTGTTGCTAACGCAGGTCTATAGAAATGAGAACACGGAAAATTCTTTTGGTGATGATACAATTTACTGAAGTGATAAACATGAGAAATGAATACATGCAGCAGTTTAGCATTTAAATTAAGCTGCTAAATAAAACCATTGCAAACACGTAGCATACTTTATGTTTAGTGCCATCTGCTATTACCAGACAAAACGGGGCTTATCAAAGCACTTGTATCTTCCTGTATAATTAGTTTGCATTATTTGTTAGGCATGAGTGTTCAATGGGTGTTATTTGGTGGATGGACATAGCTACCCTATATTTATAGGTAGAAATGTTAGTACACACTCTAGTTCTGGGGCCTGTTGTCAGAAACCTCACAGATAGTTATGACTGTTATAATTATAAAATGTAGTTACCTTTGAAGAGAGGTGTCATGTACAAGTTACGAATTTTTAAATTTAAGACACTCATGATCATAACCTGCATAACCGATAACCATTTATAATGTTTCTGACAACAGGGCCTCTAATTCTTGAATATCTCTTTTGTGCAGGTACCCCATCTGGGCTCAATTGTATTGGTGTTCCTACTTACTCTGCTGCAAGGACTTGGTGGTATGGCATATGGTAAATAGGCTTCTTATTATCTTTAACATATTTACCTCCGCCAGGGGCTTGTTGAGAGCGCACTGAAGATCAAACTGGGAACGAGTCAAGAGCGTACTGTAAGCTACTGTAAAGCTACATGGTGTCACACCGCGGTCACACCACGCCATGGATTTCGCTTTGCCACGCCTGGACTGCGCTTTTCCTCGTGCTTTCATACTTTTCAGGTCGCAGTGGGAGCCCGAACGTGATCGCGGGAAGGTGTGACAGGGGTATAACTAACTATAAGCACATGACGTTATATGAGTATGGAATGACCACAATAGATTGCTGCAAAGGTGGGAGCTAATATATTGTCCTGTGTCTTCCTCCACCAGGATAGGGGATGGGCCCAAACTCGGTAACCACCATTTATTTAGCTAGTCCACTCATCAGACACTCCCATCATCATCATGTGTATAGAGAATAATATAACAGTATTACTGGGTAGGCCTATAACATGTGCAGAGGAAACATAATGATATCCCATGTTGGCTAGCACTCGTATCTATGTATGAAATGTATACATAAAACAGTCAGTGATTTATTATTGGTAAAGTTGTTATTATACGTGTAGCATGCCACTGGCCTCCAACTCGCGTATGGGTTACAATAATCCAACCATTGGTTTTTATAAAGTAATAGTAAATATTATGTGTTGTATGTATCGCATGTTACTTAGATAACGTAATGATATAATCAGTTTCTTGTTGTATGTTACTGATTATACTTGTTTTGTTTGTATCCGTATGTCAGTGTAATTTTATGGAAAGCCATCCCCTTCAAAAATCATTTTCAAACATTTCAAATACACAATTTTAAATTAATTAATAAAAAATTTCACATTGAGAGAATTCAGCTGCCTTGGCGGAGGTCTGTGCTCTCCGAGTGCTCTAGTTCAATTATATTACGTATCTGAATAGATATAGTCGGTGGGTGGAATAGTTAAATGCATGTTATAGCTGTATATTACAGGGTAGGCCTATTCCATCCATCACCATTAGTCTCAGAGAGGGGTTTTAAGACAATATTTTATCATTCCATGTAAATAATAACAAAATAATAACCTGTATAGAATAATAGCTGGCATTTCTTACAGTTGAATATATTGCTTGTGCTGTCCTTCATGGTTGTAATTCAAGTTGTGCTATTGACGTTTATTTCCACTTCCCTTGCACCCAATATTTGTAATTCTCAATTACAAGGATGCAGTATTAAAGTATTTTATTATTCACTATTACTGTACAATAAATTTTGTTTTGTTTCGTTTGTGCTATATGTACTATATGGCCTTACAAAATATACGCTGATACCCGTATCTAAAAGTATACATTGGATTTATTTATGCAATGCTTACCTATAGTTATGCTAATAAACAGGTATATATCATTATCTATTTTCTATTTATAGATTGCTGTGTAATTTGGTTATATTATAAATAATATAGCGATTGTGTTTCATTAGGCTTCCTCATATCGTCGCTGTGTGATGAAGAATATTCAGCCATTCAGATATCTCTTGCTTCCTTCTACCCATGCGTCTTACTCAGTGGTGAGCGAAGATGTGTTTAAGCATTTCCATTTCTGTACTCGTGCCCTTTAGAGGCACATTCTTGTGGGCATTTGAAGTTTGCTATTGTTCATAAGTAATAGAATTGTGTAGAGACAGCACGTGGAACTTTGTTCGATGGAATAGCCACTGTTTTGCTGGCAGCTGCAAATTGGTTTAGTAAATTATTATCAATTCATCTCAACCTGACATGCCCATTACGTCACTTGTGATTTCATTAGAGTGGCATGTAAAACTTTATATTAAATTACATTGCACTGAGATAGTAACACATTATACCAACCAATAATGCATTTATTATATTACTGTTGTAACAATTGTTAACGAGTCTGCTTCGTGTTTACAAGGTATCATCTGGCCATTGGAGGCCATGCCATCCGCACTGAGATACATTTCTATTGCTCTGCCGCAGACCATACCAACAGATGCCATGCGTGGTATACTGCTGAGAGGTACGTTCTTCTACTGATTGCATGATTACGTAAACTAGGTTATGCCACACTCTATTGAATTGCTCTCCTTTTCACCTTCTCCACATCCCTTTTCCCTCTTGCTCTCTTCCCCCTTTCTCTTGATTTCCTTCTTTCTCACCCTCTATCTATCCCTCCTCCCTGTTGCATACTGTCTGTCTCTTTCTCTATTTCTCTTTCTCTGTCTGCCGCTCTCTCTCTCTCTCTCTTTCTCTATCTTTCTCTCTCTCTCTCTCTATCTCTTTTCTCTGGCTCTCTCTGTCCAGCTCTGTTAGAGAGGTGCTGCCACCTAGCATTAACACCATTTATCACCACTGATATGATGAAATATTGTGCAAAAGAAGGACAATATATAAAATCTAAGAAAATTATATCTTTGCTTCTTATTACTGTTCTTGTTATTGACAGGCTGGGGACTAGAATATCTTACAGTGGGCCTAGGAATTGTTGTAATCTTTGGATGGACAATTGGATTGCTGCTGCTTTCTGCAATTGTTCTTAAAATCCGCAAGATTTAGGACATACTGTGCAGATTACTCCGAACACCCTACCATTATATCAGCAGTACATAATCAAAGGAGGGTACCCCTTAATTATGTTTAGTTACTATAACTAATTATATACTATTAACGAGAATTTAATAGGCTGATTTCGGTATAAGAGTAATAATAAAAGGCTAGTTTAAATATGATAGTATAATATGCAGTCTCTATAGAGAGTGCCAGTATTGTGAGTAGTTTCTATCATAGTCTCCGCATTATCAGGAGGGCAATTATTTTATCAGTTTTAGAGGTAAGGTTCCATGGTAGAGTATACAGTACATAGGGTTATCTTGAATGTATTCATTTTATTGCTAGGTTCACAATATCACTAATGCCAATTTTGATCAATTATGGCTGATTGTGAAAGTCACTGTATAGTTTTTTGTACAATATTCACTTTGGTGTAATTAGCCCTCACACATTTATTTTGTGTAAATGATACAACTTAGTCATTGTACAGGATTTTATTAATGTTCTAATTTTATGACAACTCAAGCCAATTATTTTTATGTGATATAATATATTCATACAAGATCATGGTTTCACTGTACATTACCAAAAAAAGTTCCTTTCTTTTGTAAAATTTTATTATTGTGAAATTGCATACAGGAACATTGATAAAGTTTGAAAATGATGAGAAAATTGGACCTGTTTTGAGAGAAGTGAGCTGATCTCACTATCCGAGGCCAGGGGCATGCTCACTCATATTTTTTTAGATGTTAAAACTGCTAGGATGTTGGTCTATCCCATTACATTCTCGGCATGAACAGCTTTATACCCCTGTCACACCTTCCCACGATCACGTTCGCGCTCCCACTGCGACCTGAAAAGCAGGAAAGCGCGAGGAAAAGCGCGAGGAAAAGCGCGGTAAGGTCTCTGAGAACGAGTTGGTAACTGGTTGAGACGCAGTGGAAACTGTCAAGGACGGAAGAGGGTCGCCATGAGCTACCTTGAGCGCCAAACCTCGGCGCTTGTGTTGGTCCGGATCAAAACAAGCGCAGCGGGTCGGCGCTCTGTAATGAGCGGTGTAATGACGCAATACAGTCACCGTGGCAGCGCAAAGCGAACTACATGAGCATGGACGTAGCAACAACGCATAGAAGCGACTTGGGGTCGCAGAAATCGTCTCCTGCGACTGGTTTGCGACTGCTGTATGCTCATTTGGCTCTCCATACGTGCCTCTCCCGTTCTTATTGCGCCGTTACTGCGCTTCCACTGCGCTTCCACTACGCTTTCTTGGCTTGTTTCCCCTCATTCTACGTCCACACTGCACTGCCACTGAGACTATGACGCTCGTAATACGTCCAAGGCGTTGTTCCCACGTTTGCAATAGGCTCACAGAGCGTTCTTATTACGATCCCACTTCCACTGACCCCCCCCCCACACACATTTTTGTATAAATACAGCTTCATCTTCAGTGTGCATCTGCTCTTCATCATGGCCGCAGATGGGCAGAATGTGCTAATTGTACTACAGTTATAGTTATATGGGTTATTATGGTTTATAATGGGGCCGGGTTACAGCTACGCTCAGATGGATCAGGACTGGACGACCGTGGAGACGATGGAGACGGCCTTCCTCGACCCCTGCCTCTTCTTTTTGGCATGGTGCATACACTACTAGGCTACTACAGGCTACTACTACTGCTACAGGCTACAGGCTACTACAGCGGCTGAATGTATACTGATCCTGAAGATCGCAGGAGGCTCTATATATACACGCCGCGCACACGCAGTGAGCGAGTTGCAAACGTATTGAGAGCGTAGTAAGAGCGCAGCGAGAGCTACTTGGACGCACTGAGAGCGCACAGAGCGCAGTGGGAGCGCACTGAGAGCGCACAGAGCGCAGTGGGAGCGCACTGAGAGCGCACAGAGCGCAGTGGGAGTGCACTGAGAGCGCACAGAGCGCAGTGGGAGCGCACTGAGAGCGCACTGAGCGCAGTGGGAGCGCACTGAGAGCGCACTGAAGATCAAACTGGGAACGAGTCAAGAGCGTACTGTAAGCTACTGTAAAGCTACATGGTGTCACACCGCGGTCACACCACGCCATGGATTTCGCTTTGCCACGCCTGGACTGCGCTTTTCCTCGTGCTTTCATACTTTTCAGGTCGCAGTGGGAGCCCGAACGTGATCGCGGGAAGGTGTGACAGGGGTATAACTAACTATAAGCACATGACGTTATATGAGTATGGAATGACCACAATAGATTGCTGCAAAGGTGGGAGCTAATATATTGTCCTGTGTCTTCCTCCACCAGGATAGGGGATGGGCCCAAACTCGGTAACCACCATTTATTTAGCTGGTCCACTCATCAGACACTCCCATCATCATCATGTGTATAGAGAATAATATAACAGTATTACTGGGTAGGCCTATAACATGTGCAGAGGAAACATAATGATATCCCATGTTGGCTAGCACTCGTATCTATGTATGAAATGTATACATAAAACAGTCAGTGATTTATTATTGGTAAAGTTGTTATTATACGGGTAGCATGCCACTGGCCTCCAACTCGCGTATGGGTTACAATAATCCAACCATTGGTTTTTATAAAGTAATAGTAAATATTATGTGTTGTATGTATCGCATGTTACTTAGATAACGTAATGATATAATCAGATTCTTGTTGTATGTTACTGATTATACTTGTTTTGTTTGTATCCGTATGTCAGTGTAATTTTATGGAAAGCCATCCCCTTCAAAAATCATTTTCAAACATTTCAAATACACAATTTTAAATTAATTAATAAAAATACAAATTACTTTATATTGTTCGAGAAATTTAAATTCAAAATCAATTCACAGAATAACAAATCAATTTATTAACTTGCAAATTAATTCACAACTTTCCAAAATAATTGCCTGATATAAATATTCCTTCACATCATTGTAAAAATTCATTTTCTAAACGTACAATTTATTTTCAAAACAACAAACCAATTTATTAACTTGCAATTTAATTCCATATTATTTCGAATGTATGAAGATGTTATATATTATGATATTATATATTATATATTGTTAATGATTTGGAGTAATATAAAGTTGTATAATGTAGATGTAAGATCATTTTACTTCAGATGTGTTGCCCACACCTAATGTAGGCAATTGTGTACAATGGGTGCGTAAAAATGCAACTTGTGATTAAACAACAATGCAATTATATTTTAATGAATGAAATAGCCTGTGTATAACACGTTTTTGGGCATATAAAATTGGCATTTACAGAATTTAAGTAATTGTTTTTGTTATAATAATATCGTACTAGTTTTTATTTATACATAAAAGTTTACACATTCATTCCACTTTGCCAGAGATAAATAATCTCAAAGAGAGATCTTTACTTTCTATTCAATTATTGTTAGTTATATCAACAACTCTACATAAAAGGAACACATAACACAGTAAGGTTTATTACAATTCGTATTTATTATAATAAATTCATATATGTCCATAGCAATATGCTACTACTCATATTAAAACGTGCTATAGATAACAAAAATCAAACAATTTTCCCATACGAACAGTGGTAAAGACTTCTTATTTAATGATACTCAGCAATAATGAACAAACTGGCTGGTTAATCCACGGAAAAAATAGTCAAGCCAAAGCCATGCAAAAGAGTGTACAACTTCTGATACTAAATACTTTTTTCATATTTCTCTTATTCCAAACAAATGATATCTATATATTATTTCTACACACTATCTACATAGTCACAACTGCATTATTTTGCATCACTTGTAAGAATATATCGATCACAATGCAATTCCCAACAAACGTTTGGCACCTTTGAGAATAAATGTCTCAAGTCATGAATCAAACTACTCGATTAGCTTTGCCTTAATGCATATCCTCCCAAGCTTTGCAATGTTATAGTTCCTATCAATCTGATCACAGTAACATGTCCGCCATCTAACTTTCAATCTTTTCCATCTTTTTCAGATGTTGTTGGTAGCTGTAAAGAGAATCAAGACAGTTAATATGGGGAATGCATTCTGGATGACACCCATGTTTCAAATTACAAATACCCACCTTGCTGTATAAAACAACCAGCAACAGTAAATATTGAATAATTAAAAAATGAACTTAAACCATTTAATAGGCACCACCTCACGTGTAAGAGTTTTCCCAGTTCAGTTTATATTAGTAATATTAGACTGTTTTAGTCTCTGAATCGTTCCAAGTGCCCGTGGATGCAGTATGTTCTCTAGCTTCTTTGTCGATGATACATACTCATATATCCTGTAGAGCTGATACAGACCAGTAGCAGCCAGAAACACATTCACACTAAGCAGACTGTAGTTCTTGGGCTTTATCACCATCGAGTATCTCGACCATATAATGCCTAAAAACAGAATTATCAGGTATCAATAAGACCAGTAAACTTTGCGTCCCTGCCATGCATTGCCAATGAAGGCCATGTAATGCCCTAAAGCATCCTTTATAAACAGGTGTCTGTTCTGTACAGGTAGTTTCGCCATATAACCATAGGTATTTGCCAGCAACTGTGCAGCCTGCTATATAGCCAGACCTTGCTGTCTCATTTCGTGTTTGTCTTTGATATTAGCTGGCTCGTAAGGTGGCATGCCACACCGTGACACAATCATCCCAATTCTAGCCACTTGGTTAATTATCTAGACAGTAAGTGCCTATATGCTTCTAAAAGACAATTTATTAATACCTGTAGCAGCAAGAGCACCGGACTGCATGACACTAAGTTTATCTGCAGGGCGTTTAAGGTCACTTATCCCTGCGATTACTAATGCCTGCAACAGGAAGAGTAGTGAGTGCAAACAGACACAAAATACTACGTCAATAACATTGTAATCTTTTGTACATTTTATTAATTAATATTTTTTAATTAAAAATTTAAATACAGAAGACAGAATTGCAGAATATCGGAGAATGCTTTATTTCACCATACATCAAAACCATATATAAAAAATCGGTCATTGATTGCTTAATTTCAGACGTACCCATTTAAATACTGGTGCCCAAAAGAAGACAGTCTTTGGACCTAAAATAAAAACAGTTATATAATAAGATTATAGACGATTCAATTGGTTGCATTAATAATCTTATTACCATAAACGTTTATAAACGTTTATTTAATAAAAAGTTTATAGATCGCATAGCTATCTTATATGAAAATGATCCAACGGAAATATCCAAAACTCAAACACGCGACTATGCCCGATTTAAATTGTGGCCGGGATAGTCAGGCCGAAGGGGTCGTTGTCGTATCAGCCTATCAGGTACTACATATAGTGTACCAGACTTGTACTACAGAAGTGTACCCTAACCCTAACCCTAAACATACCTCATATAAAAATATAAACATCATACTATAAACAACCTAAAATTACCTCGGGTACATATATGTAGTAGTAGTACTGTACCTGATACGACAACGACCCTTTGTGCGATAGTGAGGCTGAGAGGGTCTAGATATCCCCCAGGGTACTGCCGGAACGTACCCTGGTACTATCTAATATGCCGGACCGTACCTCGCCTACTCCACTAACGAATCTAGGGAGTCGCCTATACGCCTACTCCCTAACCCTAACCATATCAGATAGTTACCAGGGTACGTTCCGGTATACCGGATCGTACCCTGGGGGACATAGACCCTATGACTATGACTATGAGTATGAGCGATAGTGAGTGCACACGAACTAGCCAGCCACACTGTAAAGAAAAGATTTACTGCTATTTCCCACCAGTATGGCCATGTACTGTAGCAGGCGAGAAGGGCTACAACTACAACTTACAAGGTTAGAGTTAGGCCCGGGAACCTGTCAGTGTCAGTGACGCGAGTTATTGCAATTTGTCGCAAAATTTGCGGTTGCGCTGCGGCAGCACTGCCAGCAGTTGCTGAGTTTTTGCAAGTTAGATGTCAACTACAAGTTTAGGTGAAATCTCCTCCATAATCGCACGTTGGCAACGGGTATGTGCAAAACTCGGTATCAGTTAGTATAAGTTAACCATTCATAATAGTAAAAGTATAAACAAGTTTGCGTTGACCTCTACCGTTCTAAAATGAACTTCATTCATAAAGTACCTACCTGCAGCGTGATTCCACACGGGTTGAAACTTAGATGGAACCAGTACATCAATTTTCCGAATGAATGCTTTGTACACGACTGACATGTTTAGTTTAAATAATCTAGTTTCGTAAGTTTCGAAGACTACGTTTCACTATCAGTATTTCAGTATTTCAGTCAGTAGTAGTGCAGCGTACTAGCAGAGCTACAACTACAAGATAAACAATTCGTAACAAATGTTCAATTGTTATTACGTGAAGGACGTCACCAAAAGAGCCTCTGTTTGCATGACGTTTATAGATAGATGGATCGGCCATGGACCCGTTCTTAGATGTGCTTTGCAAATATGTTTAAAAACTACAAATGCTGACATAGTCAGAGGAGGTTTTGTAAGTCCATTGCCCCAGTAATTGCCTACGTGTTTAGGTATGTAAAATCTGCTGCAAGTAGGTGGCTAGCGGTAACTGTTTTTGTTTCTCAGACTTCAGTTCTAGTGTGACTCGGCTTGTAATTTTGTATCTTGTATCTTGTATCTTGGGGTCCCTCTCTTGTATTTCACAAGGCACAGATTCTCTTGGAATGCACAAATAGTTTATTAGTAAAAATCTAAAATACAAATTATATATCTGTAATCTGCATTAACTAAATGATTAATACCTTGTAACACTTACCACTTGTTTGTAATAAGTACAACAACTATTAAGTGTAGAAATACACAATGCAACTGCTATTAGTATTACTATTACTATTAGATCTACTGTATATTAAAATAGGGTTCAAATTCATTTTTACATATATCAAACTTCAATGAATGTCATGGTGATGATGCACACATGCTTTTA